GAAGCTTTCTCTAGGAAAATAATAATAATAATAATAATAATAATAATAATAATAATAATAATAATAATAATATTGTATTTTACAGAGCTAGAAGAATGGCTGTTTTATACACAGAGCTATCATAATGCTCAGTTTCAGAATAATCAATATTGCTTAAAAATTTAAAGCTCACATAAGAGTGCCCAGTATTTATTGAAAACTGAGTGATTATTGAATAACCAGTGCAAAACTTCATTTTAAGCAGCATGTGATTCCCATTGCAGAGTCCTGACTAAGTATTATCAGCATATCTTGACCATGATATTTGCTGTGAAGAAGATCAGTGAAGACCTCCAGTTCTTACCTAACATCACCTTGGGCTTCAGAATCTATGATAGTTATGGTGGGGCACAGACATATCATGCCACAATGAAACTTTTCTCCAGTAAGAACAGATTCATTCCCAACTATAACTGTGGCATCCTGAACAAACTCATATCAGTTGTTGGGGCTATTGAGCCTGCAATCTCTTTTGACATGGCAGATATTTTAGGCACTTACAAAATTCCACAGGTAAGATACATTAATGATAAATTGTCTACACTTGGTGTTGTATTTTCAGATGGGGCGGGCTGCAAGATCTTAAGATCTTTTTAATTTCATGTACATTTCTCTATGAAGTATATTTAAGAAAATGTATTCATTAAAACTTAAAGCAGTGTGAATTTAGTTTCAGGATTTGATATAATGATAGATCAGTTTCAAAAACTAACAATTAATAAGTATTAAACATTACCTGTCATTGCAGATTTGGGAAAACTAAAGAAATTGTCATTTACATTGGAGTAGAAAAAACCTTAGTACTTCTTGCAAGTCCTCCCCCATATTGTTGAGCTTACCCCAATATTCAAATCAAAAGCTGAGAAGACAGATAAGGCAGGCTCTTTGGATGACAGGAACAGATAAGACTCTTCTTTAAGATCCAGTGTAGCAGCTGAAAGTTCAGCATGCCGAACCAAGGACATAACCAAAATCAGTTTATTGAAGTGTGAAATAATGGAATGGACAATTTAGATTTCTAATTCTTAGAGGAAGGCAGTTCAAAAATTTTAATGTTTCAAACTTAAAATAATTAAAACAGGGTAGTTTTCCAATGTCTACTTCAATCTCTGTGTATTATCTCCTCATAAAACTACTGTATTTCTTTTGTAGTTGCTTTTTTTTTTTTAACAAAAAATGATTTATTTATTATTATGCTATATTTTCTTCTTCCACACCGTATGCTCCTCAGAGTCCTTTGGGTCTGAGTCAGGTTAAAAGTAAGTAAGAAAGAAAGTAAATAAAAAAATAGCAAGCCAAGGCCACATCTTCTATGTCACAGACTTCATAAAAGCAAGTTCTGAATGACAGTACTGTCCCAAGAAGCCACATTGTTGTTTGATATTTCATCCTCATATATGGCATTAAAGACTGAAGGATTCACTACAGAAAATGTTCATAGGTGCAAACAAAATTCTTAGACAATTCTTTTGTTCTTAGAATCTATAGAACAATGAACTTACAAATTCTATACTGTTCTACAACAGATAATAAAACCCTTTATTATTTCCACTATAGAAGAAACCCAAGAAGTCTCCAATTTAAGTGGAAAAATAATTGGAATTTGTGGAATTGTAGAAGTGTGGAGTTGTAAGGGAACACAAGGACCAGTTAGACCAACCCTGTTTTCATAAATACATTGTGCACAAAAATAATGTGAAGGTATACAATGAGATATTTAAGAATTCTGATATTTCAGAACAGAGGATAGACATTTTTAGGCATTTTTTCCCCTCTCTTTCTCTTTTTCATTTGCTAATCCAATTTGTATTTCTGTAGTTCCTATATGGCCCTACTCCAAGTATGAATGGTAGAACTGAAATCCCTTTCTACTACTGCATGGTTCCAGATGAAGTCGTCCAATTCAGGGGAATTCTTCAACTACTTTTGCACTTCAGGTGGATTTGGGTTGGGATACTAGTGAAAGGACACGGTGGACCAAATTTTGAGCAATTGATCTTTTCAGAGTTTTCTCTCCATGGCATCTGTATTGCCTTCTTGGAACAACTCAGGCCAATTTATATCGATAGCATTTCTGATGGCCTGAAATGGCTTGTGGAAACATTCCATGTTTTTATTAACAGCAAAGCTAATGCTGTGATAATCAATGATAACTATGTTCTACATTTGAGATGGTTGTTACATCTACCTGAAATGGAAGTAGTATCTATAAAGCCTAAAGGGAAGGTGTGGATTGTGGCCAACCAAATGGGCCTTGCCTCATTCTTTTATCAAAGCAGCTGGGATATCCAAGTGCTCCAAGGTGCTTTGACCTTTGTAGCTTACACAAATGAAGTTGAAGGATTCCAGCATTTTCTTGAGACAAGAAACCATTTCTCATTCCTTCACCAAGATGGTTTCATGAAAGATGTGTGGGAGCAAGCATTTGGCTGTGTGGCTCCAAATTGGATTGTGAGCGAGAAAACTGAGGACGTCTGCACTGGAAAGGAGAAACTGGAGAGCCTTCCTGGGGCCTTTTTTGAAGTGAGCATGACCAGTCAGAGTTACAGTATATACAATGCAGTGAATGCTGTGGCACATGCTTTACATGCCATACAATTGGGCCAACGACGACATAGGAGAATATTGAGTGGCAGGAAAGTGAATCTCCAGGATCCACAGCCATGGCAGGTAACTTTGTGAGGAGTCAAGCATTGTAGATATGGGACTTCATTTCCACTGAAGATACCTATTGACTTTTACAGATGGTTAGATTTACCTTTTGATACTTGATAAGTGAAAGGAGAGATCCAAGGACTATGTCACTTGGTGAGTAACACATGTGCTGGAAAGCCAGAGATTAGGGCTTCCTGAGGATATGGGTATTAATATACAGCAGAAAATATGAATATGTACAATAAAAAATAAGAGATTTATATCAGACTAGAGTGTCCTGTACACTACAGCAGAATGGTGCAGCACAGAGAAAAAAAATCAGTCTGTAATAGATAGGATGAGAAGCATTCTGTAGGGTGCAGGGCTGGTAGGCTGATACTTGGGAGATGCAGTCCACACTGCCACTTAGATGCCAACAGGATCCCAACAAATGTTATAGATGGAACACCAAGCAAATGGGGGCATGGAAGGAAGCACATTAGATTGCTGAGTTCTTAGGTTTATGCCTATAGGCCAAATGAACAGAGAACCAAACTGAATTGTGGTTATGAGGAAGCATTGATGGTTGTATACTCACAGTACTGCAAGGATACATCATCCTTGTGGTCTGTGCATCAATTCTTAAAATACATAGTAGTCTGTTTTTTATGTAAAGAAAAAAAATAATGTCATTTTAAAGTGTTAGATCATATTTCTGATGTCCAGATAAGCAATGAGGCTTTGAAGGAGGTTTTCATAATGTATCCAGAATTTGACAGCAACTGAATGTCTGAAATTGAAACTGAGGCACTACAGAAGACAAACTCCAGTGGTGTTTAGTTTTTCAAGGTTTGCTCTGACTGAAGGACAGACTTGTTGACTATTGAACTCTTCCTGTTCCTCCCCTACATTCCCTCCCCATCTCATGAAAGCATTGTCCACAATGCAACACGAAAAAAGCTTTTTGATACAGTTATGGCCACATCCCACTCTTTTCAATATAGTGAGGCTTGTAAGCTCCCAAGTATCAAAGAGGATCTTGAACTGAGGATAGGACATGCTAGAGAAATGTGTTCGGTTCAAGTGAGTTAATAACTGCTTTCAGCTTTAATCTACTGTTTACTTGTCATGAAAGACATAACAGTATCTTTTACTTTACTCCATTTCAGGATCCCAGGCACAGCATATAGTGATTTTTTAAAAAAAAATTGCAATAGATATATTTTTTTAATGCATTAAAATACCAATATTAAGGAAAATTATATAAAATGGATATACTAGAGATAATAAAATCAAACCCATTGGAAAATTAGGGACATTGATTTCAAAACTGCATACATGGCAGATATGTCCCTACCTTATGATGCTACATGAAAGTAATAGAAAAATATTTATGAAACTGAAAACAAGTGAAAAAACAAGACAATATAAACTTACAGAAAAAAGAAGAAAATGGCCAAAACAATATGGAAAGACTTGGCCATCTTCACCAACCTCAATGTCTCTCAAGCCAGACGTCATCCTTTATCCAGTTCAACATGTTATAAGCAACTCATTATATCTTTCTATGAAAAAGGGTTTTCTGCTACAATATTTTTGTCTATATCCATCCATAAGAACATCATTTATATTTGTATCTGAATCCAATTTCATTCTTTTAAAGGTGTTGCTGATTGTCTCGTGCACCTTTTTCAACTGTTTCTTTTTTATTATGACAAAAGTTTTGTCCACATAATGGAGCCACATTTTGGGAGTGCTCTTGTTTTAGGCACTGCATCACAGTCTTAGCTCTGAATCCTGAGATGGTTGATCCCATGGGTATTGGTTCTGTAATTTATCTATATATTTGTCCATAAAAAAATCTGGAAGGAAGTGATGAAGCAAAAGTTAATACTGTGGAATCAAAATGCAGGACACAAAGGCAAAATAATCAAGGCTTCACTGCAGTGTTTATTAGGCAGTACGTACTGGAGGGGGACCCCACTAAAGGTTAGTGGGAGATACTCCCCTGTAGAGAAAATAAATGCCCTGATATTTATACAGCTCTACAAGAAAGGCGAAGGGAAAAGAACACATATGTATACATATATATATGATGATGCAGGCATACCTAAATGAGCAATACTTCTCAAGTTACTTTCTGTCCCTGTCTTGGCTGCTATCTACAAGGATGGAACAACTGGTATCTATAAGGAAAGCAATAGTGTCAGAGGGGAAGAAGCAAATTGTTCAAGGTGCCAATTGCCAAGTAGAAGACATTCTCTTTTACCTTGCTACGGGGATGTTTGTGATAAGGGCTTTACGATCAGCCTAGTTCATGCCAGCTTCAAGGGTGCTGCACATTCCCTTATGTTTTAATTTTATTAAGGCGATCCCATTCATCTGAGGCCTCTAAAAACTTTCTTCTTTCACCCAAAGATTCACCTAAAGATATATTTTTCTCACAATACATTCCATAACTCTTACTTCAATTGTAGGTTCTGTTAGGTTTGGTGTTTTGGGTAGTAGTAATATAATAGATTCTTTTTCTAGTTCTGGATCTATGATTGGTGAAGGGTGCTATAACATCAAACAAAACCATATTTTCATCTTTTTCAATGTTTGATTACCTGAAGGCACTGTAGTGGTGAACTGATAAGATTTCTCATTCCCATCTATAAGGTGTCCAATGTTTTGGTAAATTCTTTGGCTATTTGTATGTTATAGTCGCTGCTCATGACATCTTTGGACAGAGAGGTATGTTGGGTCTGTGCCTTTTAGGAGATCCATAGAAACATGGGGAGATAGGTCCACAGCTTTTCATCTGCCACTCTTTTGTTTTGTCCCCTGTCCTTTCTTGGCAAATTTGTAGAGGGATTTCTTGATTTGGTGAGTCAGTTTCTATATACAGTTGGTATTTATGGACTTGCAGGTTTCTTTGTCTTTCAGTAGTTCCTTGGCTTTCTTTATATTATGTTCTCTCCAAAACTGTGAGTCAACCTTTGTCTGGTGAGAGGATAGTTACAGTTTGGACCTCTCTTAGAATTTTCAGGGCTGTTCTTTCTTCTGCCTTAAGGTGGTTCTATCTCTGTATCCTTTTGGCATAAGGAATAATTGTCTGTCTTTTGCTTTTTGGGGTCTCATTAGTCAGTCCAGTTGTTTTGAACAATGCCTCTAGAGTTGCAAAGAATTGTAATTGGTTTGCATTCTGTATCTTGCAGTTAAATCCTTTCTGCAGGACACTGTGTTGTAGGGTGGATGGTAGATGGCTGGAGATAGTTACCACCTTTCAGATTCAGATTCATTCATGTTTTCCTATAGGGAAATTTAGCAATTTGGTTGGGAATTTTGATTTTCTTTCAGAGCTTGACTTTAACAGATGGTCTTGATGGTTGAAAAGCAGGATACACTATCAACTGGTCCAAATCAAAATTGATGCCAATAGGTGAAAATTTGGTTACCCATTCATTTAAGGAATATCAATTCCATATTTTTACTGAATCCATTAAGTATCTAGGTATGTGTACACCAAAGGATATAACTCATTTAGTAACATGTAATATAAATAAAATATAGAGAGAGGTTTCTTCAGGTATCAATAGATGGGAGTCATTAAATCTCACCCTTTGGGGAAAGGTGAATTTTCTCAAAATGAATATTACTCCCAGATTAATTTATATTCTGAGAGGAATTCCAGTTTTTATAACTGGAAAATATTTTTAGAAAATAAATTCTTTGTTTCAAAAATTACTATGGAGTTCTTCAGTTCCAAGAATATCTTCACAGAAAATGCAATTACCCAATTAATAAGGGAGGATTCAGTTTTCTGAATCTGGAGCTATATCATCATGCTTACTTATTGTCAAGTATTAAATACCAGAAGGCAACAAGTGGTGTGAATTTTCTGATTTAGGGAACTTTGGAATATATATATATAGCCCCTTTGGTTGGATGGACAGTATTGGGGTCTCTATATACTAAAACTCTAATATCTCTGGAAACAATTTTGTCAGTTAGAAAGCTATGGAATGTGATGTCTAATTAAAAAAAAAAAAAAGATTTGACCCTTTTTCCCATGCCAAATTGACTTTATGGGGAAAACCAACTTTAAACATTGGGGAAAAGATGGTAATATGAAAAAAATTGGATGGAAGCAGCGATATTGACTTTGGACCAACTGATAAAGATGAATTTTTAATATATTCCATGTTAAGAGATAAATATCATCTATCAGATGGAACCCAATGGCAATATTTACAGTTACAACAGTTGTTAACAACATTGTTTGGACCAGCAGCATTTTCAACTTCTGAGATACCTGAGATATTAGAACAATTTGTTAATTCCTTTAAAAGTCAAAAACCTACTATTAGTTTTTATAGAGATTTGTTATAAATTATATGATATGCAGATGTTAAGAAATGAGTGGAATAAGGAATTAGAGGTTCCTATATTGTCTAGACAATGCAAGAGTTTTTTAACTTCTATAGCAAGAGTGTTTATAGACCTCAATTTATGACTTATAATACAAAAGAAAAAAAAAAGTGTTTCGAATTTACTGGACTCATTTATGTTTGTATAGAAAATGATTGTCAAAACAACATTATGTTGGAGATGTAATAAGGGTAATGCCTCTTTAAAACATATATTTCTACAATGTACTATACTTACCAAGTTTTGGGAGAAAGTAGTGGACTATATAAATATGATTGTGTGGCAAAGCTAAAATTTTCAGAGGATAATATTCTTTTGAACTATATACCTATTTCATTGAACTTGACAACCAGACAATGTAGATGAATTCTCCATGCCCTTACCTTGGCCAAAACACTGATATTGCAGCTTTGGAAAGATAAATGCATGGTCCCATTCACTCAATGGATTGAAGACCTGATTGCCATTGCCACTTATGAGCGGATTGCCTATAGATGTTGACTTTGTACAGACAAGTGTAATGAAATATGGGGCTCATTTATACAAAATACAGTAGGTTAAAAAAAATGATAATCCTAATAAATGTGTTAGAAATAAATATGTACTTGAATAATATTTCCTTTTGATAAGTACATATAGATTGTCATTGTTTACTGTTATAAACAAGTATTAACATTTTTCCCTTTGTTGTATCTCTTTTACTTTTTTGTTAAAGCACTTCCTATTTTTTCCCCCTCAATAATAAAAAATTAATTAATTAAAAAAGAAGGAGGAACACCAGGACATTACAGTTAGGTGGCATCTGCACACATGTAAACTGCTTTGAATCAAAGGGTTACATATCATACCAAAAGATATTATATGTTAACAGTACTCACTTTTTCACAAATATTTGCGTATTCTTTCTATATTCAGCTTCACTTCTATTTGCAAAGAATTGCATTTAACAACAGTGTTGGGGATGAAATTTCCTTTGACCAGAATGGAAAACTGGTTACAGGACTGGATATGGAGAACTGGGTCACATTCCCAAACCAATCCTTCCATCGAGTGAAAGTTGGGAAGCTGGATCCCTGGGCTGCTGAAGACCAAAAGTTCACCATTCATGAGGAAGCTATCACCTGGCCCAGCACTTTCAACCAAGTAGGTTCTGAATGTACGTAATTTTGATTCAATGACTAGGAAGATATCTAAATGATAGCTCTATATCATTTAACATAAAAAGAATATAAAAACTTATTCTTTCAGTTATGTTCATCTATCTAGAAGTGGGAACAATTGTAAGCTATGTCAGAGTTCAAAATTTCTGGAAAGGAGAAACAGTGCTTTTCAAAAAATTTAATTGGGCTTCCAAGCATAAGTTGCAGTAAAGCTTAAAAAGTAATTGAAGATATATAGAACAGTTTTACACATATGTTATTGTAATGGATAGTGTAATTGTATATTCATCTAATTTATTCTTACTCTTACTACCATTGATTGAAGTCATGCTCAATAAATGTTATCTGACAGCAAATTAATTTGGAAAGTTTTATATACTTAGTACTTTTTATGTATTAGGTTAAACATATAGGATGCAGTGCAAAAATATACAGTATATTGGAGAGCTATGTTAATTTTCATTTCTCCAATACTTGACATGACAATTAAGAGAATGCAAAGCTTAGAAGGGTTCTTTGATTTGATTGAACCTAATTCCTGAAGAACCATAAATCACCATGGATTCATTAATTTTGTTTATAATTTCTATATTATCCAAAGTAAGAGATTAAATATCTGGAAGTGTTGATGAGTCCCACTGAAGTAAGCATAACATTGGTGTCTGGTCTAAATCTAAAATATTTCCCAAATTAGAAAAAAACAGGTTATTTATAAAAATTGTTGATCAGCAAGTGGAATCCAGTCTTGCATTGTTTTCATGTTTATGATTATGAGAGAAAAAAATGCTTAGAATTAGTCTTGATTTGCTAAAGATCAGTCCACCATGATTTTAGATCTTTTTTCGAAATATTTGATTGAGTGCTAATATTTTCTTTCTTATTTTCTTTATTGGGCAGACCCTACCTATTTCGGTGTGTACAAAGAGCTGCCTCCCTGGTTATTTCAGGAGAAAGCAGGAGGGGAAGCCGTTTTGTTGCTATGATTGCCTTCCATGTCCGAAAGGGAAAATGTCAAGCCAGAAGGGTAAGAGGCATAGTGAGCTGAGGTTATCTTATGGTTGTGAAGGTCATAACAGGCAATTCTTTGGATTTTGGAAGTATGAAAACTAATGGACAGGTAGTCCTTACATGAATAAGGTCGTAAAATTTGTCATTAATTGGTGGGGCCATTAAGCAAGGCATTGAGTGACTGCATTCAATCTTACGACATTTTTTGTGGTGGTTGTTAAGCAAATCACTGTGGTCATTAACTGAATCATGTGGCTGTTAAGTGAATCATGAGCATTCCGGCTGGGGAATTCTGGGGGTTAAAGTCCACAGAGTGATGTAAAGGGAAAAGGCAACTCCTTTCCTACCCTTCTTTCACCAAAATTGGTATTTATGGATACAAACTTTCATTAGAAAATGAACAAAAATTCAACATCAATGAACTGAAAGCAACACAATCCCACTATATTTATTTTTGTTTAAACCGCACAATAATATATAAGGAGCATGAAAAAAACCGTCTCTTAATTTTTTTAAAAAAGGAAAACATGTTGCCTAATGCTTTCTAAGATTCAAATGCATGAGGAGCCACATGGATAATGTCAGTGTCAGCCTCACTTTCAGGTAAAGAGCATACCAAATACCTGTGTAATATAACAATAATTGAGTGACCATAGTGCTTTTTATATACATGTTTCTCTTTATATATTTAAATTCCCCATTGATTTTGCTTCTTGGAAGCTGGCTGGGAAGGTTGCAAATGGCGATCACATAATGGTGATCATGTGGCCCTGGGATGCTGCAACTGTCCTACGTACATGCCAGTTGCCAAGCACCCAAATTTTGTTCATGTCACCACAGGGAAGCTATCTCTAGCAAATCCATACCACATGGTAGAGAAACCAATAGATTGGTTGGTATCTGGATAATGTAAGGCAGTGTTGGGGAATCCTGGGAGTTGGAATCCACATATCTTAAATTGGCCAATTTTGACAACAGTGATGTAAGGGGAAAAGACGACTCCTTTCCTTCTTTTTTCTTCACCAAATTGGTACTTGTTTGTTAAACAATGAACAAAATTAGACATAAATGAACTGCAAGCAACACAATTCCACTATAGATATATATTTTTTAATTATACTAATTAGAGGAACCTGTAGAAGATTATACCCCATAAAAACATGATACAACAACAAAATCAAACATATATGTAAATAAGGACAATTAAAACCACAGAGTAATATATAAGGAACATGAAAAGACAGTCCCTTAATTATCCCCACACACACACACATATACAGTACATATATATTCCTCATGCCCAAATGCATGAGTAGCCACATGGATAAGGTCAGCGCTAGCCTCACTTTCAGGTAAAAAGCATATCAAATACCTATGTAATAAAACAATAATTGAATGATCATGGTGCTTTTTATATACATGTTTGTGTATATATACTTAAATTCCAGACATGCAGGTTTGTTCTGAATGTCCAGAAGACCAATATCCAAATAAGGACCAAGATTCATGTCTTCCCAAGAAAATATCTTCCTTGTCCTATAAAGAACCAATGGGAATAAGTCTAGTCATTCTGGCACTTTTCTTTTCTCTCTGCACAATTGTGATGCTGGCAACATTTTTGAAGTATCACCACACTCCCATCATCAAGGCCAATAACAGAAATCTCACCTACGTTCTACTCATCTCTCTCCTTCTCTGCTTCCTTTGCTCACTGCTGTTCCTCGTTGCACCAGGTGTTATAATATGCCTCCTTCGACAAATTAGCTTTGGCATCATCTTCTCTGTGGCTGTGTCTTCTGTGCTGGCAAAAACCATCACTGTGGTTCTGGCTTTCATGCCCACCAAGCCGGGATCCAGAATGAGGAAATGGGTGGGAAGACGACTGACAACCTCCATTGTTCTCTCTTGTTCTCTGATTCAAGCAGCCATCTGC